GTTACAAGTTGAGGCGTTGCCGGGACCTCCGTGAACCTTTTACAAGATTCCAAGGTTGTAATGTGTGCGATTGATGTCAACGGGAGGGGCCGCTCACTAAGGCATAGGGGCTGCGCGAGATGAATTTGGTCAGCGACTACGTATGCCGGTCAATTATGCTCTGGAGGCGTCGCAGTGCCGGACTTCCAAAGTTTCGCGGCGGCTCTTTGTTTCGAACAATCTCGATCGCTTGGATACCAGCAAGGCAAGCATGCATTCAGCAGTAATAACTTTCAACATCACTGGGATCGCCGCGCAATTTCGTCGAGTCGAAAGTTTTACACCAAGACTCTGAGGCAATGTTGACGCGAATCGTGATTGTGTGCGTGATGAAAAGCGTGCAGCAGTAGTCGCATGCTTAGACGTCTCGCACCAGGCATCAAATGAGCCTTGCTGAAGAAATTCGTGTTCGCGCAGTGCTTACCCACTGGTAGTGAGGCCGTTGCATGGTGCCGGCCTAGGGTATTGAAGGCTCATGTACCCACCCGAAGCAGTGGTTAAGTGTTGACTTATTTTGATCTCGCACCATGGTCGCACGATGCCGTCCCTAGCGACAATAACAGGTGGACCTGCGATCTGCGATCTGCGCGCCTAGCGAGTGACAAGGCCGCGAGGGTTTGTGAGAGTTGAGCGAATCTTGTGGTAGCTTGGGCGGCGAGTATTGGTAGTTTTAGCCGACGCACTTCATGGAGGGGACCCGCACATAAACCAGACGGCTGAGCAACTTGGAGCTTGGTTGAGCGTGGATGATAACGGAGCACTGAAACGCAAAACGAAATGCTTGGATGACGCATGCCATGACGATGAGGGGGCTCACGCAGAAGGAATGGAGGGATGAAGCGACCGTTTAGAGGCCTGTCCTGAAGCCAGTGCGCTACGGCAACACAACAATAGCCCGTCGGGTTATTCCCAGGATATTCTCACGGAAGTTTCCAGCCAGGGTCGGCAGACAGAAGTTTCTTCTCGCCGGCGGAAGCTTCTCTCTCCCCTGCTATTAAAGGTTGGACAGTATTGCAGCGGTGGACATGGCAGCAGTGGTGGGTGAATGGCGAATGTTTTACGATGTGAAACTCGCCCCCGCATGTCCAACCGTCGTTCGCTGGGCCGACAAAATGTCAGCAAAGGACGCAGCGCGATTGGCGTGCTGGGTGCAGGCCAGGGCGCAAAAGGAGCATCTTCGTGTTTAATGGAGTGCGGTCGTGTGTATGGAGATCTGGAATGCGGTCGCCGGATCGAGCTCATGTCCGCGGCCCTTCTTGGCTGCTATTCGTGGGGCCGCAGCGCCGCTAAGTTTCGATAGTCTGGTTCTGCTGGGAAGGGGCACACGATCGCTCCTTCCGCCGATGTCCAGGGCTGGCTGGAGGGACTGCGAGGGCAGGTCATGGCGGGCTGTGGCTGTTGGGCGTCTTCAGGAGGCGCGTGCGGGTGGGCGACAGAGGGTTTGATTGACGAGTGGCAGATTTGGCCGCTGTCGAGGCTTCAGGCGCCCACTCGGCTGATTGGCTGCTTTATCATTCTACGAGGCATCGAGACTCCAGGCTGGTGGTCGGCTGCGTCCTGTCTAATGCTAGCTGCCACTCTGAAACTCCAACACCTCCTGGTCGGGCCGGCGCACACCACGACGCGCAGTATACCTATCGTCCTGTCCCGTACTTCCTGGGAGCTCTTCCTTCCTGGCCCCGCTGCACTGCACTATTCGATGCAGGCCAACCCACGGCGCATCACCACGATTCTTCCGTCATATCCTCCCAGGTCCCCCATGCTTGCAGTAGTCGCCAGTAGCTTTGTCTAGCCATTCCTAGCCGACCATACTCTACCGGCTTCCCGCGCGCGCACCCATTTCCTCGTCGCGCACCTGCACCACATATACACGCTCTGCAGCCGCACTCTACTCGAAATACTGCCTTCGGCCTAATATAGCATACTCTAATCAATCATGAAGCAACGCAAGTTCTCCTTCAATCTGGCGCCAGTCGTACGTTCCATCCCCAGTCCTTTGTCTGCAGTCGCATCCCAACAGTAACTCACCGCCAATGTAGAAGATTGCCTCGAAGCCAGACCTCTCCGACAAGCCCGCGCCGGATCCGACTCCCTCTTCGTCGCACAAGAGACATACCTCCAAAGATAGCATATGCGACCAATCGCCCTACATCAACCGCCGCGTCCTCGACGAACATACCGATCTGGAACTGCGCCTAGCATGTCGCGAAATCCTGCAGAACTTCAAGCCGTCCGACCATGGCATGGAGAACACCGATCCCAAGCTCGACTTTGGTGGCCTCGGCCGACGGAAGGAGAGTAAACCACAGGCCACTGAGGTTGCTGTCCGTATGCCCACTGGCGCGCCTCCAGAGCTGGCAGCGACTTCGACGTCATTCATGATGCGCAAACCCAGCACCAAGACGCGCTCACGCACGAAGGCGGACCAGGAGATTAGAGCAAGGACCTACGGAGACATGCCTGCACGCGCGAATAGTAGTCGCAAGCGAGCTGACTTCGGATGGCTTGACGAACGGGACGCAGAGAGGGAGGAGAAGCTGAGGTCATACGGCAAGACTTCTATGGACGTACCGCGATCGAACGTCTTCCATAATGACTCGGACGAAGACGTGACCCTTCCCGTAGCAGTCACGTCTACTCTCGCCAACGCCAAGATGTCGTCGTCAGTGCCCACCTCAGCATCTTTACCCTACAGCAGGAGCATGAACCGACTATCCCATCAATCCGATAACCCAGCAGCAGTTGCAGACGCACAAGCCGCAGAATGGATGCGTCGAGAGCTGGAGAAGAAGCGGCAGCAAGAAGCATCGGAGGGCCACCGTGGCCGCTCCTCGACTTCAGTCCGACCACCCAGTCGTGCTGCCAGTGTCAAGGAAAGCGTTAAAGAATACATCTTCCCAGGCTCTCGCAGTCGGGCTCTGAGCCGTGCGCAGTCCAAAGAGTCTCTTCGTCCAGCAGCCGACAACGACGACCAGGGTCTCTCACGCAGTGGCTCGAACTCAGGATGGCGTAGCTGGGGCATACCCCGCCGCTTGAGTTCAAGAAGCAACAGCAGACCAGGAACCTCGAAAGGAAAACCGGAGGAAGCTCAGCCCAGGAAGTCAGAGTCCAACGGCCTCAACTTGAACAGAGAGCTACCCCCACTACCAGGTCTGGACACATGGAAGGACCATCAAGAATCTCCTCAGGAGGAAATAACAGTATCGATGAAATCTCCCACATCGCCAACCGCCGCAACACACATTGCAAGCATGATGCGCTCGCAAGAACAGCACCAGGAACGCTCTCCCGCCGCGAAGAAACACAGGAAGAGCGGATCTGATACGTTGGCCATGCAATTCAACGATTCGTTCCCTGCCCGGAAGTCGTCTCGCAAACAGGAGACCAAGGCCATCCCACAGCCCACAAGGACCAATCCAGGTAGCCCAACACAACCCGGAAACACGATGACTGGCTGGTCCTCTACTAGTAATCTAGATCAGCGCCTCGAAGTAGGCTCCAGCAACCACACTCGCCAACGAAGCGGAGATAGCAACTCTGCCAGCAACCAAAGTGCCGAGGCGTCCACCTTCTCTCGTAAGATGAGTCTGGATACCACCGCCCGGAAGACCCTCTCCAACGAGCCCAAGACCCCAGGCCGGGAAGAGCAAAAGTCCAAACTGAAGAAGATCTTTAGCGGCTGGATGCACAAGAAGGACAAGAAAGAGGACTGGATGCACAAGATGGAGAAGGAGGGTGTCAGGGAAGGTGTTATGGTGCAGGACGGCAGCACGAGCGCGTCACCCGTGGTGCGCTACTAATTTCCCTTCTCCGCCGTCTGGGTCTCAGTCAGGGTAGTACCTTCCGTTTTGAATGGGTCATATGCCCAATTGGGATATCTGTATACATGTAATGACGCTCACGCGTAATGTGCAACGACGCAACGCCACTTTTCATTTCTTCTCGGGGGTTTCTTAGGGAGTTGTATATGCGGTTGCGCCGTCATCAGTACGATGCATTTTCTTTTCTTCTTGCATAATGGTATAGGATTGTGGTAATAGAATGAGATTTCTGGAGTTTTTCACAATCAGTGCATGATGCCGGTGCTTGCAGTGTCAGAACTGCATGACGTCCGCGCTCCATCTTTATTTCAGTCATGAGAAGAGGCCAAGTTGTCGGTTGGCGCTATACACGTGACTGCGCAATGATGTGTCACGTCAGACTGGGTGCTCCTTCCATGACTACAATCTGGACACCTACCCGCGTTCAACAACCAAGCAAGCGTCTATCTCCAGCCTCATGTGCGCACTACATCCTACTGGCCGTTAACATGGGTATGGAAGCCGGCGTCATTTCGCGACAGCGACTGACTGCATATCAGCAACGCCCTCACCTTTACCTGAAGGTCCCCGCTTTTCCACATCAATTCGAGGTACACGTAGGTGAGGTGTCTGAGTGGTAGCTATGGCAACACTATACGACTGACCGCCTGCCTCATAACAACATCACACGACTGTAGACGCAGACCGACTGGCGATTGAGTACACAACGTGCTTTCCTGTGGAGGTTCCGACGGTACCTACTCTCGATTCCGAATGCACCTACCACGATCAAGTGGCCACTGCAAACTACTTGCTTCAGAATCGGTGACACATCACATACACCATCCCTGTGCAGCTCCCATTGGATTTGACGACATACCACGACCGACTCTGTGAGAGCTATGCCTCCAACATGATCGTGCAAGGAAGCTAACACCGAGCTGTGCAAGTTCTATTCTTCTCGCCAGAATGCCCATATCATTATGACATTCTAAACGATACATCCACAAGATCTCCCACTCCACTCGTTCGTACACGAAGTCAAAGCTCCATCTTTAGTCACAATATCCGCCGGCAATGTGCAACGTCATTCACTTTTCCTTCAAATGCCAGCATCTACTACGTCTACGAAGATCGCGCTGCAAGGGTACCAAGCACAAGATGACGAGGACAAGCATACGAGCTGCTTGTACTGCTGAATCCTTCCTTACTGTATACGTTCAGACTGACTGCAGTCCCTGCGAGCATAAACTATGGGAGAGCCAGTGGGAATCCAAGCTAGGGCGAGCGAGATCATATCTAGCTAAGCTGATAGAGAAGCGGATGGCTGGTGTCGACGAAATATCGACTCTAGTTCGGGAACTTGACGAGCAATATTACGTGGCTTCCTGGGATGCACGTAACATGCAGATAACCTCACACGCTTTTAAGAAAAGCGTGGCGCGGGTAAGCATTACGGATCACCGGACAGCGCGCTCACCCCTGACCCAAGAAGTACGACCAGAAGACGTTGTCGATCCGAAGAAGCACGTGAAGGACTGGATGGAGATGGATGATAACGACTACGATGGGGACTACATTGCGAGCACCGACCCAATCCACCCAGTCAGTACCGATTACTCGCATCCTTTCGACGATGATGACGGAAGCTGGATACTCAATCACTTCTCGCCAGAAGAAATGGAATCTGCGGCCGGAGATCTAGACTTCGACCAGAACGGATGGAGTTGGGACAACAACGATAACGTCAACGACAGCGACAGTGAGAAAGGCGGAACGCCTATGATTGCTAAATCTCAAGAAGAGAACACTACGTCACAGATCGGCGACAACGATCTCATTGCATGGGGGCCGGAAGCCTCGGCGTCCTCCAAGCTTTCGAAAATCAGCATGGATGGTCTCAGTATGGAACAAAAACATGCGAAGGAGCAGAAAGAACTCATAATCAACGCATTCTGGGTTGTCGTAAATGAGTCCACGGAACCACGACGACAACCAGACTCCAAAATGGAGGATCTGAGCGTGATCCTTCGCAGCCTCGACATCTCTCACAGTACTTCAGCGCCTTCGGCCCCTTTCACGCCGAATAATTCACCTCACATGTGGATAGATGGTCCCTCAGACGCCCATACTCCACCATCAACGCCTATCCAGCCCACAACACCACCAAGTCCCAACTCAACATGCACAGCTTACAACAAACAACGCAAGTTTCTCAAGAAGCGGCTCCAAGAAGATGCTAACAAACACAAGTACTACAGTGACTTGCTCCTTGTTTCGCGGTGGGAGGCGAGGGCGTTCGAAGGACCAGAGGGGAGGTTTATTGCTGAACCCCAGATGGTGAGGGCAGGTGGCGGTGGAGGAGGCAACGGGTGGTTTCAATAAGAGTTCAAAGGTCGTCAAGGGCTGATGCACTGGGAGTTGAAGACGTTTAGAGCTCAGCACGAGGTGGGCCATGTTTTATTGGCACCTCATACTGAACAGGTCTGCAGCCTACGTCAGGACAAAACAAGCAGATCAGAAGCCTCTAGCGTCAATGTAGGCTTCAGGGTGTCAGACTTTCCCTTGATCAAGGCGCTGCAAAGCTCTGAATACCAGTGTGAATGGATGTACCTTTCTTCATTACTCATATACCGGCAGGTCCATTGCGCACTGCCATTCATAGCCATGTCTATCAAAACCCACTCATGCGCCGAACGCTATGCATAAATCTCATCGCTGAGCTAAACGCATCAGATCACGTAGAGCGTGTAAAACAGCCCACAGCATGTGCAATGTCGCCAGAACCAATCTGCGTACGATCCGATACGTCCCCCACCCTGTCCAGTAACATAGCCCCAGTATAATTAGTGGGAACATGATCGGGCTCACTATAAGCAAGAGCAGATAAGCTGGCCCCATACTGAGAATCGCGAACACGGCATGATACCATTGGTTGACAAAGTCCCAGTCAAAATCGTCGGGAATATCGTCTGGATCAAACAGCGCATGGGGATGACGGCCGTCAGTCATCGCGCATACGCTCCGTCGCCTTGCCAATCTGGAGCACCATCAGCAACGTAAATAATCTAGAAGTCTACATTAGCTCAGGGTGTTCGTTTCCATACTAATACAGACTCTGACGTACCCGTTCATTCATGCTGGTGGATCGACAGGGATCACCACCTGTCGCCACCAGAATCTCCGCTCATGACAGTATTGAAGAAGTTGGCGTCGCCGCCGTAGTTGCCACCTCCGCCATACCCGCCCATGCGGTTCTTGCCCTGGGTCTTGGCGTGTTCAACGATGGAGCTCTTGCGGCCGAGATCCTTCGCTAGAGAGACGGAGTTTGTAATGGATGATAGCAGGTTGACTAGCTGCACATCAGATGCTTCTTGCTGGGACTCGAGCGAGAAAGCGGCTGAGTCTGGCGGACCAAGGATATTCAGGCGGGCGAGCATGGCAGATACACTGCGGAGAATCGAGTGATCTAGAGGCAGGGGATGTTGCGCGTCTGGCGCGGCGTTGACTGGTAGGGACGGGTCGGAGAGGTACGATGCTGGGAGCGAGTCGATGTATGCGCGCAGGAGCATGATTCGTCGGCTGAGCATGCGAATGGCGTTCATCTTGGCTGTAAGCGAAGAGAGAACTGGACAAAGGTTAGTATGTCTGTACCAAGTAAAATTTGAAGTGGCTGAACCTACCCTCTTCATCGTCGGCGTTCAAGATGACCGACTCGTCGATGGGCGCGTCCTTTTCTTTCTCCTTCTCCTTCTCCTTTTGCTTTCCCCGTGTATTCCGCTTCCCAGTAACCTCATCGGTTCTTGAGGGCTCCGGCGCTGCACCGACCACGTTTGCTGTGCCTTCTACTGCAGTAGCGTTGCCACCACCCCGCGCGACGAAATCGACAGAGATCATTTCCGCCTCGCCAGTCTCAATCGAGTAGACTAGCTCTCTGAACTTGGTTGACTTCGCCTGTACAGCCCCGTCGATATCCATAGCCTTGTCATTCGGATCGCTCGATGTGTTGACGGATAAGGATTCGTAGACGGTGAGAGGCAGCTTTCCGGCAGCGGTTTCTTTGGAGAAAGCATTTTCTGGGTGGAACAGTACGAGCAGCGGAGACTCGGTGTAGACTTCGGATATGCGCGAATGGATAGGCAGGATGTGGGGTTCTGGACCGGAGGCGGGACCGAGGGTAAACCAGCCTACAATGTCTAATTGTGGCTCCTTGTGTACGTCCTTGACTACACTCAGGTTAGCTTCATTCAGATGTGGAAATATGAGGTATAGACGAGAACTTACAGTCTTCGATACGCTTGCTGAACCATTCGTCGTCTAGTACTGTCTCTCCGTCTTGGTTTGGCAGGAGCTTTGCTTGGAAAGCAACCTCCATCGTGATATTCTGACCATCTTGCGCGCCTAGTATGGCTCCGACTACTGGTCCTGTCTGCTGTCGTAGTGTGTGCCGTGTTACGCAGTCTGTTATTGTGAGGAGTACCAGCGGGTGAAGTTGTACTGTTGGACTTGCGTCAGAGGCGCGGGTGGTCGAAACGAGTGGATTTCCTGATGATTCGGCCATGTTTGCTGCAGTGTAGTTCGGTGTCGCGTTTGGGGGTTCGCGATGGTCGAGATCGTGGTAGAAGGTCGGAGTGGTAGTCGAGCAGCGAGGCAATTGCAATGATATGGTCTTGGTAGGGAGCTTGCTTAGGCTGCAGCTGCCACAATTCGTGGGGTTGTGCCAAGGCGCTACCCGTTCAGCGCTAGTGTCAACGCGACTGCAGCGCGACGCGCTTTCCTTGGTAAAGATCCGTCATCATCCAGGTTTCACTTCACTCCTTTTTCTCGGACTTCAGAATCAAGCATCACGAACCGGAGCGAGCGTTTATCATCGGAGTACGATTATGCCATTATCATTTATGGTCGGGCCTAGCCTCCAGATCTTTGCGTCAATCGCCAAATACACTCCATAACTCCAAATCCAACCCAACCCAAAAGCGAATGGTATCTTAGTCTTGCTCCAGACTTTCAAAACGCCTGACCGCGGTCGCCGCCTTTCGGACGATCTCTCTATGTCGTTTCTATCCTGTCGTTATGAATGCCACACAATTCAATGTACATATTAGTGGTTTCCTGGGCCGTTCGCTTCTTTACATCTCGACGAGGACTTTGAGAACAAGCTTGCCGTCTTTGTCGACCGTCTTGCCCGCGAGCTCGAAAGCTTCCTTTGTCGATGTCAACCCATGGAACCTGTGAGTGATCATGTTGTCAAGACTCGGAAGTACACCGGCAGACAAGATCTTGATACCAGTGGGGTAGGTGTTGGCGTAGCGGAAGATGCCAATGATGTCGACCTCTTTCAGATGAGATGCTGACATGGGTAGTGTCTGAACTGGCGTGCCCATTCCGACCATGATGAGCTTGCCGCCAGGCCTTGTCGCCTACGAGAAATTAGGATTAGGTTTGCGATTGTTTCCGGAGGAGACTTACGTATAGTCCAGCTTGCATGCAGATTTCCTTTCCAGTGCAGTCAAAGGTGACATCAGCACCTTCAAAGTCTGGCTCGTTCTGGGATGCAATCTGCATAACATCGGCAGCCAATTCCTTGGCTACGGCGAACTTCTCAGCAGTCTCGTTGCCATGTTTCTGCGGGGTCACGATATAGCCCTTGTGTGCGAAGCCGTTCGCCAAGGCGTAGTTGATTCGCCCATAGTCGATGTCTGCGATGACAACGGTTGTGGCGCCAGACACCTTAGCCATCGCAGCTGTCAGAAGGCCGACTGTGCCTGCGCCAAAAACAATGGCCGTGTCACCCTGCTCGATCTGGGCTCTTCTTGTTGCATGGATCGCAACAGAAAGAGGCTCCAGAAGCGCAGCCGATTCCATGGAAACATGCGAAGGTAGTCTGATTTAAGTTGTCAGCTAAGTTCGGCTTCGGGTCGATCATGCACGACATACTTGTGGCACCATTTCGCGGGATGGTTGATGCGTTCCTGAAGCGTCCCCTGGAAGTGAGGCACAGATTTGGCGCTACTCCGAAACCTCATCTTCGGGCAGAGATTGTAGCGTCCGCGTTGGCATGACCTGCAGTTGTCGCACGGCACACCTACCTCCAGAGCAACACGATCGCCAATCTGGTAGCCGGTAACACTCTCGCCGATGGCAACCACAACCCCAGCAGACTCATGGCCTAATGACAACGGCTCGCAAGCCTGCAGATCACCGTTGCAGAACTTGCTGTAGTAGGAACAATCGCTTCCGCACAGTCCAGTGGCCTTGATAGCGATCTGGAGTTCATTGGCGGCGGGATCCGTAATGGTACGAGTTTCCTAATTGGATTCGTTAGCTTCACGTTTAGATGCTCAATATACACCAAAACCCCCACGAGTAGTGGGTAGACGTGGGATGTGTAACGAAATTGGAAGGCATACGAGCCGCAAATCCCTTGGCCCATGTAAGACCGAAGCTACGACAGTCGAGGACTTGGAGTAGTGCCTCGTTGGGATTGGATAGATATCTGCGAGAGCTGAGGGAGCCATTACGAGAAAATTTTGGTAGTATGGGGGATGGTGGCAATGGAGCGGGAAGAGGTGAGGAAGAGATAGCTAACAGAAGCCCACCCCACGGGAGCGTGGAGGCTGATATAGTTGTTGAGAAGGCCCATTTCGATCAACGGTGGCCTGGCACAAGCTGGGCTTGCCTCAGGTTGGTGCATCGGCGAGATAATGGCATCGCATGAGGGAAGATTCAAAGGTTCCACGTCATTTGCTAGGCGTATCAAACTGGCGGGACGAGCATGGATAGGGATGCGCGACCAGAGCTACTTGGTACGGTAGGCCTCGCGTAGTCTTTTCTTTATCCCGTTACTCTGTGTGTATATATGAGGCTAGATCTTCTTGTGGGTACACGACCGGGAGCTCTTGTTATTCGCCCAGCGAGCTAGTATCTAGGGACTCAAGCATTGCTAGACTCGTTTTGCCGGATCAACACCGTATAGCTCCGGGACGTGCACACGCAAGATGCGATATAGGAGCAATGTCATAATGCAGTGTGTATCTTGAGCACGTCTTGTCTTGTGTAGTGGCCGTCTATCAGAAACCCGCCGGCGTTGTGAAACAGCGATAAGGCACACTGCACGGCTGTGGAGCCCGCTGCCAAAGGTTGTGTTGGGATTTACGGCAGCGAACCTGTCGGCTGTAGTGGCCCTGCAGAACCACAGATCCCTGAGCAGGACGCGCGAAACATCAGCCTGATATGCAGGCTGTCCTGTCTCGGCGTTAGCATGTCGTTACCGCTAAACCAAAGCTCAAACCATAAGTCGTCCTCTGCCCCCGGTGCATCATCAATCTTGGATTCTTAGGGCCTGCATACCGACGGGAAAATTCGACCGCTGACTGGCTAGCGTATCTGGCTGATATTCCAGAAGACTTCCCGAAGTCACTTTTGCAATATAAAATCCCGGATATATTGCCCATGTGCAAACGGCTCACGCCCAACGGTGCGCCTCCAGCCTGGACTACTCTGGGGAGCATGGAATCAGTCCCGTAGTGCGGCCCCTTAGCGGGATCCTCCTGGGGCAACTGTGGTGTGTGTGGTAGCAGACCCGTTGGCTGAATGTCGGTTGGAGGGTGGGCATGGGTCATGGTTTGGCTACCGAGCAGCCCATTGACGAAATTCGTCCTACGCGCGACCGAACTGCCGGGACAAGAAAGTACAAGGGCCTCTTATCGGAGCGACCTCAACGCCAACTGCACGAACGACTGGCCCAAGGGATAGCTAATAGTCAACAGCTGCACCTTTGACCGAGGTGTGGCCACCAAGAAGCCATGGAAATTGACATGTGCCAGCATCTGCATGACAATGGCGAAGAAGCACCGGTAGCGCGCTGCAATGCCGTCCCAGATCTACCATCTCGACCGAGAAATGAGGTCGAGTGTCGGTGGTGAAGGATTCGGAGGAACAACGGTGATCGCGGGTACATGGCAGGCCCAGCACTTGACAGGGAAGCGGCCACGAGCAAGATGAGATGTCGTTACTAAGCCGACCCGCAATAAGCGTTTACGTATCTCTCCGACCGCCCGACCTGCTCTCCCATTCGACAACCACTGTCGTCTGGCACGCTGCCGAGCAAACTGCAGCAGCGGGACGGCAAAACAAATGTCGACGGCCACTCGATCTCTGTTCCATCAAACGTTGCACGGCAGAGCACCATGGTGGATCCGAGCATGCCCAGCAGTGTTGAGATTAACTTCTTTGCACACCAGGATGCGCCCAGGACTCGACTAACGAGTATACCTAATGTACCTATCCAGCCAGTGCGCTCCCAGCTCCGGCGCAACGAGCTACGAGATGCAATAGAATAATGGCCCTACTGATAAGCAAGGTACTTCTCGTTCGCACTGCGCATGCGTCTACCTCAACGCCCCAGGTATATTCAACGCTACTATAGACCCTGTCCATGAACGTAAAGAACACCGGGATGTCGCTCCACCAAGCGACCGACTCCACGACCCTCATGCATGGCCCTCTGAAAGCAGTAGGCGGTGAGCGAAGACCATCATACCCAGTTTGAGAGTTTCCTGTAACCCTTTGTTAACTTGAGCACGTTTTCGCGATCTACGTCGAATATATGTCAAGCGCTTGCACGACGGTGCCGCGGCGGTGAGCAATTTCACCTTACTCGCTTCCCTCAAAGCTGCCTACGCCACAGCATCCAACCACCATGACCCCGGGCTTAAGGATACGTATTCCTCAGACAGGCGGTCTGTCGGATGTAGAGGTACCGTTCCCCCTATCGCACCACCCCGCCCATAACAAGCTGCGGAGTGTGCGGAAGCCCCTCTCCGTATCGACATCGTGTCGCAAAAAAAGCATTGCATGTCGCAACCTACTCAGGACCACGAGGTTGCCACAATGCACAACGCCGCTTCCTGACTGGCTGTATTACGCAGTGGGTACCAGAACTCCGGATTGCGCACGGACGGAGGGGACCTGCATCCGCCATAATCTCCAAACAGTTTACCTGGAAAATCTCGAGCATTCTGTCACCAAAGTACCCTCTTGCCCATGAAGTTCGCGTGGAAGAATGTCATAAAGCGCTAATCCGCAGACTTGAGTCAAGGCGGGACAAGAGTCCAGAGGAACAACCCGGTGCCAAAATTCCAAGGCGGCGTATCTACTACTACTTTTGCCGGTACTTTTATGGTTAGAACCTCCGGAGATACCGAGATACCACCACACATCTCACGCTTCACTTTTGAGCTACAGGTACTTGACAATTGCCGTTGATCGTAAGCGAAACAGAACTGTGTGGATTGAAGAGCAAGAGCTGAGTCGGTGGTGTGCTGATGGCCTGCAGGTACCTGTGTATCAGGCAAGAGATGCAGATCATGTGTCCACACAACGTGCCGCCGCGGCATCCTTTGTAGTCGATGATGAGTATCGGCGTCAAGACGTGTCTCAACGAGACAACGCTTCTGTACGCTGACGCACACCTGCGTTTACCGATCAAGTGCCGTCTCTAGCAACCGTCAAATTTGTATCAAGGTCCGCTATCTTGGACAAGCTATAGTCAAGACTCAACGGTCAGCTTTGACTCCACATCGGAGAAGTGCAAAGGATTCCGCGTGCTTGTCTAGCGCAATGCGATATCGCTGCGTGGACAAGGAAGCCATGAGGCACATGTCAGGCCACCAGCACGGATAGAGCCGCAATCTCCATCGCCTGTCAGTTCGTACCCGGTAAACTATGATATGCTGTTCTCGGTCGACGGGCAGGAGAAAGTAATCAGGCATGCATACACCGCTCGCTGGGCAGCATGGTGAGATTTTGGGTACTCCAAACTAGACGAACTTACTCAAGAGACGGGTCAATTATCATCCCAAGACCTTCAACATTCCGTCTCTCTAACCCCCTTTCACAAACTACTCTCCCGCTTCTTCTTCCCCACCAACCCCTGCGCCTCAAGCCATTGGCGGATAATAGCATTCGTCTCCTCTGGCTTTTGGATCAACGCCCAATGCGCAGCCTCCACCTCTCCCTTCGTAAGCTTAGGAATGAAATTATCCATGCTCTTTGCCATTGCGGGCTTTAGCACGCCGTCGTGCGTGGCTTGGATAAAGAGGACAGGTTGATTGATTATCTTCCTGTCGAGCAGCGCTTGGTCTTCTTCCCAGTTCGTGCGGCGTTGGCGATACCAGTTCACTGGGTTGAGGGGTTAGTGGTTGAGCTTGAAGTGGTGTGTAGATATGGGTAGATGTATCGTGGATGAGTGGTCGGTTGGGGAGGGAAGACTCACATGTGGGGTGGATCCCGTGGTTGAGATACTGCTTGACGTAGTAGTCTAGGTACTGATTCGCTGTTAGTACACCATCGCTTGTTGGCAAATCCTTCAGCTGTCTTTCTGAAACAAGATGATGCAATGGATCGATCTCGACATGTCCTTCGCGCGGGACGATCTTGATGTCGAGCCGAGTCGATCTTTTGGAACCCTTTCCCGCCTCATGCATGATGTGTCGGAAGTGGTAATGCCTCTGTCGAGCGACGTAACCACCACACAGCATCCCCTCAAAAGGTAATACGTTTGTCTCTCACGGCAATCATGCACTCTTCTTTCCCTTCGATTCCGCACTCGACACGCGTTCCAGCATAAGAGATCATCACGCACCTTTCCATTCAGAATCTTGCTCTCACCGATCTTTGGCAAGTTTTCGACCAGTATCCCTTTCTCGGGAACGAACGTGACCTCGCCGTTTGATCCCTTGGCCCCATACATGCCGCTCAGGAATTGCCTGATCGACTGCTCATCGTTGACGCTCTTTTCCACTTCGCCCGAAGCGAGATGGACCTGGTAGGCGAATTGGGGTAATGGACCTTTGACCAGATCTTCGGTGGAGAAGTACTTGTCTGAAGGAGCGGTGTATGGTGTGCAAACTGAGAAGACGTGTGTGATGAGCTTGGGGTACCTGTGGGGGTGGTGAGATCATACTGGGTATGGCCAGTGGAGATGTTCACACTTACCACTGAGCAGCTCGCCAGACAACGAAACCTCCCCTAGGCAAGTCGTTAGTAGACGGAACCCTCGACGCATCCATAGCAGCCGCCTACCAGTCATGACCACCAAGAATGATCTGCGGTGCATTGACTTCTTTAGCCAGTGCAGCAATATCATCTGATGCTCTCTTGAGTCCATACAGCTTGATCGAGTTTGGCGGAACTTCAGGAGCATCCTGAACATCTCAGCTTCGGTATATTCCCCCGAGTCGCAAGACCTCTGGATTCGCCTTACCGTGCCACCGTATCCCATCATATCCGGCGCAACAACCCGCATCCCCATGTCGACTAAGAGAGGAATCTGATATCTCCATCCCATCGATAGATCGGGCCAACCATGAATCTTCCAAAACAGTCAGTACAATTATGTTGCTTTACTCCAAAGTACCCTTTACAACTGGAGAAGGGTGCGGAATTTGCCGGCATCGTATAACAGCCACCAAACACCACTCACCAGAAACACGGTATGCGTATACTCGCCAGACTT